CGGCCTGGAGCCCGGCGCCGACATGCACCTGCGGATGAGCAAGAAGATCGCGCAGCTCACCAAGGTGGGCGCCGGGTGAGGGGCCCCCGGCGTGCGCGCGGGTGAAGGGGTGCTGAAATGGAGGGAGTCGAAAGGGTCCCCGGCGTGGAGGGCACCGCGAGGCCCGCAGCCCTGCACCCGGCGCCCCCGGCCGCCGCCTCTTGGCGCACGACCCAGGTGGCGAGAGGCCGGTGGGGCTGGCTGCGGCGGGGTGAGCGCCCAGGTGCGGCGGGGAGCACAGGAGGGGGACGCAGGCCGTGTGAGGTCTGAGGAGCCGCTGGGCATCTGCGGGAGCTGTGGCCGGGGCTGCGGGGCTGCGGGCGGGCCCGCCCGCGTTGGCACGCGGCAACACGTTTCACTCGCCAAAAGACGACGTTCAGAGAGCAGCCGGCGGGCAGGGTTGTAATCGCTGAGCTCCGCAGACCTGTACTGCTAACGACGTTGGCCGACCGTGGTGGGGTAGTTCAGGGCGCAGCCAAGTTACTGAGCTCTTTTTCTCACTTAGTGCTGCTCATAGATGGAGTTGTGTCTGGGCAGCTGGAGCCGCGCAGGTCGGCTCTCCTGTTGTCACCGCGGGTGGTGCTAACTGTGCGCGGAGAAGGAGGTGCGGGACCTCGGAAGTCAGTCCAGGCGGGACCTGTTGGCAGGGTGTGTGGGCTCCGGGGCTGGCGGGGTGGGCTTATGCCAGACAGCCACTCCTTCGGGGCCTAGTGCCGGTGGAGTCTTTCTGAGAGTCAGCTGAGGCATTCGAATTGAGAGAGAGGAGCGAAAGGAAGTGGGAAGTAGCAGGACAGGACTGAGAAGTGAGGGGACGGCTGGAAGAGAAAAAGCAGAGGTGCGGGAGCACAGCAGGAAAACTCAGCCGTGCAAAGCAGGGCGATATTCTGCGAGGCTTTCTTTGCTGTTCAGCACCGTCTCGGGTTGCTGTGTGCTGGGGTTTGCTATTTCCTCTCGTGACAGGGTCCCCAAACTCAGGGAAGGTGTGTCATCAGATCGTGCACACACAGAGGGGCACAGCCAGCCTCCTCAGTAGTGCCCATGCCCCCTGTGTTGTAAGCCATGGAAACACAGGTTGGGGCGGGACTGTGTACTGTCTGAGAAAAGCTGTTTGTCTTCAGTAAACCTTTTCTTTCTACTCGTGATTTTCAATTTCCTGTTCTTTTATCAGAAGAGAACAGTGGGGCACTGCTGATGGGTAGATATCGGGGACATTGAGCTCACGTCTCTCTGTCCTCTCACCTCACTCCTACCAGCTGTGGCCCTTTCACCCCTGAGTGCTGCGCCTGATCTTTGCGAGTGTTTCCTGGATGCTGGTGTCTTCTTTGTAGTTACAGTTTGTAGATGCTGTCACTGCCTGTGTCTAAGTGCTTCAGGCATGTAATCCCTTATACTAGGGATCCTGTGGTTGCACTGTTGGCTGTTTGGGTGGACTAATGCCTCTATGCTGGGCCATTGCGTACATTAGGGGCCGATTAGCAGCACCCCTGCATCGCGCAGTGGGTAGCAGTAGCTGCCCTCACACGCACACACATAGTTGTGACATAAACACGTCTGCAGACCTGACTGGGAGATCTTGGGGCAGGGACGGTGACGAAGTCACCCCGGGTACGGGATGGCTACGATTGAGGCATGCTGAAGTGTTGAGGGGTTCTGTCCCCTGGTTTCTTGCCTTTGTGTTTACAAAGGTGAAGCCTGAAAATGAAACAGTGCAGTGGTGGGACTCTGCTGCAGCCAGCTCACTTCAGTTTCTGAAAGCATGCGGTGAACCCTGCTTCCTTTACTTACTGTTTACAGTCACATACCCTTGTAGATACTCTACCATATGTGTGGCACTGTGAATATATGTGTATGTGTAAACTTCTTTAGTATCTGCTGTGTAACATTTTCATTCATGAAAAATTTACTGGTAAATTCATATCAGCAAAGGTTTGTTAAGTAGAACTGTGATTAGAACTTGATAATAGCTTATATTTCAGCATTAGATATTACAAATTAACCTTAAAATAGGATCTTTCTTTCGGAAAGGAGTTAGTAGAAGCGAACTCTTGAGAGCTGTAGCAGCAGAATAGTGAAGCACTTCCCCTGGGAGCCGGACACACTGGTGTGAGTTAAACTGCTGCTCCACCAGTTGCTAGCAGTGTGACTTGGAGCTGGTCACTGGTCCCTGAGCCCCAGCTCGCTCCTCTTTGGAGTACGGATGGAGGAGCCTGTTTTAGAGAGTATTAGTGGCAGATTGTAGGTGCCAACTCAGGCTGTCACTGAAAATACGAATTGTATCCCCAAAAAGTATGTGGAGCGATATCTTTTAAAACTACTCTTCTAGGAAGATATGCTTTCAGTAGCAGTACCTGATACTGTGTTTATTTCGAGGTTTTTGTACTAAACTCTCAGAGTTAAAGGCTACACATCCTGTGGTAGGATGGCACTGAAAGGCATGTTCCGACGTTTGGCTGGCAGTGAAAGGACAAGGATGAAAGTTATTTACACCATAATGCTGCACAAAGTGAAGCTCAGCATGTTTTCAGTACAGAAGCCGGGGTTGTGTGCGTATTTGTTCAGATTCTGTTTTCTGTGATACTGTCAGCAGCTTTCTGTGGTAAGAAGAAAAGCAGTTTTAAAGCTTGCTTTGCGTAAGAGAGACTTTGGTGAGTGTAAGAAATAGAATAGGGCCAAGACACAGTCTGTTAATATTTAGGGCGTTCGTGTCCAGTTTTAATAATGAATAGTAGATTCTTGACCCACCAGTGCAGTCCTACTTTGGGACTCAACTGTTCTGAAATGCTTTGAATTTGGTACCTGACACATTTTGATGACAAAATTTTGTCCTGATGCTTGTCATTTGTTTGGTACTTCAGCTGTAAGCTAGAATTTGTGGTTGTTGATTGCCTCGTGATTTGCTACCCTTTCCAGCCAGAACAGTTTGTGTGGTATTGATTGTTTTGGGTCCACATGGGGTGTGCCAGCACCGCTTGCTGATGGGCACTGAGGTGTCATTTGATTCTCAGGCTGTGGCATGTTCCCGGAGTTGTTAATGCTGAACCATCCCAGGACAGGCAAGGAGGCTGGTGGGGTGCTTTGTTTATGAGTGTGCACTTCTGTACTTGCCTCTGCACTGTTTTAGTTGGCGAGCGGGGCCTACAGCACAGGATTATGAGCAGCCGTATTTTTGTCACATTCAGTTTTTTCCCTTTTTGTCTCCTACCTGCTGTGTGAGGCTGGGCTTTCCCTGCCCTTCATCATCTCGGCTTTGCTGGTTGCTCTTAGATAGCACAGGCCATCTTTCAGTAACTAAGTCACAGAGTCTTAGTCTGTTAAAATGTCCAGGGCCAACAAAACTCCAGAGCAACCTAACTTCTCCCGTACCTCAGGCCTGCCTGAGAAGTCTCACGGGGAGAGGGCTCCCTGACCCTTGGCCTGGGATCTGGCTTTTCTGTTCTTCATTTGCTGTCTTGCCAGCTCGGGTCTGTGATCCTGGGGGAAGGAATGGGGGCTGCATGGAGCCACAGACTGGTACTGGCTTGGTTGGGAAACCAGGAAGTGATGCAGCTTGCGGGCCTTGGCACGCATCTCAGGTGCATTGTTTCACTTGTGGGCCCTGGCCTTCCACCTCCGCTGCTTGAGATTTTTACCTTAAGTGAGACTGCAGCTCAGTTCCATCTGTTTGCATCTCTGCTCAACCCCAGGGGCTGCATGGCCTACACCCTCAGTTTGTCAGGGTCTCTTCATGCTTGGCATGATCACTGTCACTTTGTGCCAGTGAGGCATCACTCTGCAGAGACTCTCTTGCTCTCACCTCATCTTCACCCAGCTTCTCATCCTTCAGAGTGCCGGGGGTGAGCATGTACCAAGTCAGATGTCTTCAGGACACATCCTAAGCGTGCTCTTCTGGGCTTCGTGCAGAGGCTTGCACCCTGTGCCTTAGTGTGGGCCAGGCCTCTGTTGCCCTCGCCCTTGTGAGGCAGGAAACCTCAGAAGTCTGCTGTGGTCTCCTGGAAACTTGTCTTCCCGGTGTGAGTGGTGGGAGATCACACCACTCAGCACTTTCTCTAGACTGCCTCCTCAGAAAGTCTTAAGAGTGTCTTGGCACCAGTTTCGGAAGGCTATTCGTGTTGTCCTTGCTTCTCAGTAGAAGTAACCCTTTTAAGTAGCCTGTTATCTTAGCTCCCCATTAGGCCTCTAGTTTATTAGCCCACCATCAGTAACAGATATTACAAGTACACTTTAGGTAAAGTGTACACTTCCAGAGAACAGAAGGCGGTTTTTGTTTTTTGTGTTTAGCATCATTAAGTTCTTTTCTTTTATACCCCGCTTACAGTCCTGGTACGTGGAACTGCCTTCATCCACCTAGCCTCACTGGGATTTCCTTATTCTGAATTATTATAACATTTATTATCTGGACTTCTTATGTGGTACTTAATTATGCAACTTGCAAACATGGTTTATTGTGTTTATAAATTATCTTGTTTCCCTGATTTAACTAGCTATTCACATTTTTATTGGCTGCCTTTAAACTGCTTCAAGTTACTTTATAATATACTTATATTTTGATGTAAAAGTAAAACTATAAAGCACTTGGTCTAAAATGTAAACATTATTTGTGATTTCAGGATGTTGGTAATTGAGGTACTAGTTTCTTAGCAAATATTTTTGAATTCTTAGGATCATTTAATGTTATCTGTTCTATTATATCCCAAACCAGAATGTGTTTATATAATACTGAAACAAGTAATTTTCAAACAGTTGTTTTTCTCCACTACATTACATAAAAGTGATTTTTTCCTAAACGGTTTGTTTGAACTACCTAGATGCTCTGCAGAGTAGCACTTACTGTGCTTGTGGCATGGGTCTTGAGCTACTGGGTTGACTCAGAGTGACGGTTGGCTGTGTCTCAGCATGGCACTGCCATGTGCCCCTGCAGCGCCTTTTCATTCTCTTGTCACGGTGCAGCTTTGCCATTCTCTGTTGCAGGAGCTTGGATATAAACTCTCTCTCATCAGCTACTGGGTAGGTTAGTTTCTTTTATTT